GCCTGCCCCCATCATCATCTCACCTGCCCCCATCATCATCTCACCTGCCCCCATCATCATCTCACCTGCCCCATCATCATCTCACCTGCCCCATCATCATCTCACCTGCCCCATCTCACCTGCCCCATCTCACCTGCCCCCATCATCATCTCACCTGCCCCATCATCATCTCACCTGCACCCATCTCACCTGCACCCATGCGGCGTGCCACCAGCACCAGCGTCGAGGGGCTCCGCCAGGAAGAAAGAGTAGCTTCTGTCACATTTCAAAGCATTGCAGTGGAGAACTCTTCGACTGATTGATTTCTTAGACATGTCTTTAATGCAGGCTGTTAATTAAAAAACAGAAAACTCCATTAACACATCCTTAAAGGGCAAGTGCTTTGCCTCAGGTCAAGTTTAAACAGCTAAGACACTATGTAAACATCTCCTAGATTGGAAGCTAAGTATTACCACTGATGAACTTGAACAGCTTCCCAGAGTAGCTGGTTATTTAACCCTATAATTTATTGGATGATAAATATTTTAAATTAATGCAAACACCTTTTATGTGCAGAAAACCAAAACAAGCAATGAAAAAAAAGCTACTTTGTTAACTTTTTCCATGTGTTGGTGGTTGAATGCATTTTTTAGTACGTTGGTTAAAAACTACCTGCTGAATGTAAAAGATGCTTTCAGAAATTCATACAGTTGAAGAATTAAATGATCAGGCCAGGTCATGAAAAGAACATTTTGACTTCCGCATTTTTAGGATGCAATTTTGTGTACTTTTTGCTATCATAAATGTGATTGTTTCCTTTAAAACAGTAACAGTCATGTTTACTGTTTGTTGCTAATGTTAGATTTTCTTCCTTTGTAGTTTCTCAAGATTACCAAAGCTAAAATAAACTTCTTTTAGCTCTCAAAAATAGAGGACTGGCTTAGAGAATTAAAGATAGAATTCAGAAAGAAAACAGCTTTCTACTTTAGCTTCTTTCTGACGTGTGTGTTTGGACAGCACAAATACAGTACTAACAGCAGAGCCTATGGCAGTTACATTGATTCCTCCAAATCTTGTCTCAGAAATGAGTCCCACAGCTCCCTGCAAAGTAATTGGTCTAATTAGGTGGTAGGAAGGAGCTTCTTTAAATTCCTCAGAAATTAAGACGTGTCATCCGCTTAACATCTTAGCATCTGTTACTGCCTCTTGCTCATTTCTCCACTACGTCAGTCCGAAGGATACTTTCCTGGAACTTTCAGAGAGGAAAAAAAAAAAAACCCAAGACCTTGAAACAGAGAAGAAATTGGCCCTTTCTTCAGTGGGATGAAGCATGTAAGGCACTTCACCCCCTCCTTATTTCTCAGTTTGGTGCACGTTTGCCTGGGTGAGTACAATAATCACTTTGTTAAGTAAAAATATAGGAGGATACAAGTATAACCTTAAATCCTGTAGTAATTGTTACAGATGTGGTAATGTTGTCCTGAAATATTTTCCTTGGCAACTGATCCCTGAGCAAATGTTACCCTCTGTGTTTATATATTTTGAGTTTTGTTTCAAATGGGCTATTTTGAATCTCTAACAGTCAGTCAGTAGAATGACAACTAATTTGCTGTTTCTTGTTTTTTTTTAACTTTGTTTGCTGTTGTCTGGCAGCAAGTAAGTAACTATTTAATTATGGCTTAATTGCTCATGCAGTAGGCATAATTTTAAGGCAGAATGTGCTTAGAATACTGGGTAAGGCACTGAGGCACTGGGAAAGTTTCAGATTTGCATGTGTAGGGTAGGGGAGAGGTGTACAGGCATTGCAAGCTGAAAAGGTTGATTTTGCAATGAAGCTGTCTGGAACGGATTGAGATTTTTTTAGAGAGATCCTGCTACTTGATTTGTTTTGTTGTTTGGGGTTTTTTTCATATACTCTCTTTCTCCATTTGTTGCCTTGTGAATACTGGCACAGTGGCATGTAGAAGTAATTTTATTAAAAATATCTGTACAGATAAGTTCTGAAAGTCCACTGCAGCAACTGGGTGTGTTACGCACTCATAGTATTCCCAAAACAGCTCATGTTTACTGAGAGTCAGGTAACAAAGCCAAGTAACTGCCACCTACAAAATGCTTTTCTTTGGCTTCTGTTTTGTTTTAATTGCAGTTCAGGCAAATTATGCTCCCTATTTCTTTGATAATGGAGCCAGAAGCACAAACGGGAACATGGCACTTCTCAGCCTTTCGGAGGACACACCTGTTGGTCAGTATTAAAATTAGTACATTTAAATCGTGAAACTGGAGCTGCTTGCTCTTTTGATTAGCAACATATATTTTGTTGTAGGTTGTTGTTATATACTGTGGTCTTACATGGTTTTCTCTCAAGATTTTAATTGGCCTCGATTTAAAATGACATGTTTGAATTGTAGCTGTAATTAAGAACATGAATTTTAGCTACTCTTTTCTTGGTCCACCAATCTATTCACAGCATCAGAGCACAGACCTTCGGGTTCAGAAATAAATTCATGGTGCTGAGGGACTTCTTACCAATTCTGTAAATGCTTATGAGAAGAAAGCCTAGTTGCTAGTAATTTTATCAGCCTTGGTAAAAGCATGCTGTACATTGAAAAGTGACAGAGGCATGATTTTCTTTAAACAGTTATCACATTTTTCATGTTTACGGTACAAATGGTAGAAAATGTTTCTACTTGGAGTGAAAATTGCTTTGTCTAAATAACTGATGTTTTTTAAAAAGGTTTAGTTTTGGTTTACTGAAAATTCAAAAATTGATACATCTTTCAGCTTTCAGCATTTTGAGGTCTATTCATGCTTCTTTTAACTGTAGTTGCATTAAGAAAAAATAAATAAGAACAAAAAGGTGATTTATAATCAATAATTTCCATGGGGGAAGAATAATTTCCTAACATTTAAGAAAATTTATGTCAAATATATTACAGCAATGAACACTACCTTTTCTTCAAACGTTGCACTGAGGTTTTGTTTAGGATTTGCTCCTGTTTGTCTGCAGCTTTTACAGGCTAAATCAGAAAAGCATTTAGCTGTTGCATACTAAGTACCAGAGGAGCCATTTATTAGCTGCCTCGTGCATAGAGGAGAGAGATGGCTGTGTGGAGAGGTGCACCCAAAACCCTCCCCTCCCGGGGCTTAGGCAGCTGCGGGGGGCGAGGGTGAGGGAAGGATCCAGAGGGCACAGCCTCCTCTGGAAGACCGACGCTGCCACCTTTGCCTTCCTAAATGTGGCCAGGGTCACTCGCTGCTTTGGGAAGCAGCTGCCTGGGGTTTGCTCGAAGTCTCCATTTCTGGCCCAGCGGAGTTAGTGCCAGCCAAGATCCACGCCGGGCATGCTAGGGGGTGGGGAGAGGGTGATTGGGAAGCAGTGACTTCTCCCTTGCCTGCTCAACCAGAGAAGAGGAGGGGGAGAAGGCAGCACGTAGGGTAGAAGTGAGACATCCAGCCGATGAACCTCAAAAGAGCTTCCTTATGATGCAGCAGGGATTTGGTATAAGCTCAGTCAAGCTTAAGTGGAAACCTCAGCTGAAGGCCAACAGTAATGTACTGGCACTTGCAAAAGCCAGAGGCAGACCAAGGAGCTGCGATTTTTGCTGTACCGCTGCCCGGATTCACACAGAAACCACACTTGCTCATCCCTGGCAATCTGGACAGCTCTGCTGATTGCTGGAGTGAGATTAGCCAGTGGAATCGCTTGTCTAATAGTGTAGATAAGGCTTGTAATGCCAGATAACCACAAAACGGGACCCCGACTCGGTTTGTTTGGGGTGGCGTTTGCCAGCTCCGCCGCTCGAGCTGCAGGCTCTACAACTCACTGGCTTGCCGTCGGACTCCCGTCCCCGGGTGCAAAAAACAGAGCATCGGCCTCTCCCTGCCGCCGCTGCCGGCCTCCAGCCACCTGCGTGGGGATGGGGAGCTAACGATGGCGCAGAGCCACAACGCGGTCAAAAACATCCTTCCTATCAGGACGGCAGCGCCTCACAGTCTCTCAGGTGACAGCACTCCCTGCAGCAGCAAAGTGCGGCAGCAATTTTCCAGCGCTGGGACCCAAAGCATCTGATCTGGGGCAATAAAGGAGAGCGTGCGTGCTGCGACAGCAAAACAGCAGTGTGGGGGACCGGAGCCTCAGTGTTCTCGTGACTAGCCTGAGTAAGAATAGTGACAAATATGTGATAGGCTTTTGCAAGTGCTTTTGTAACATTAGCAACCAGACTAGGTACGTAGAGGTCCCTGCAGAGTTTATGCTGTGGTTGCAGCAGTGACAAAGCTCAAGCTGCTCCGTCTTTAGTGCTGCTGGCCTCATCCAGAATGTGTTTACATGTGTTTACATTGGCTGGCTTGTGCTTCTAGTTTGCTGTATAAATGTACTTTAAAAGACAAGAGAAGCAGCTTCTGGCTTAAAGCTCCACAGGTGCCACAGAAAGCATTTCTCTGAGGTGAAAGGTTAGGAGGTGTTGATTTTAGGCTGTTGCAAAGGGTGTAGAGAAACCCTGGGGAAAGGGAGGTAAGAGCTGACTTTTGAGAAGTCCAAATGTGGTAGCTTTGCCACGCAGCTGCCGGTGCTTCTTTGGGCTAATTCCCAGAACACCTTGACTGGACTGCAGGGTCCTCTCTTCTGAAAGCACTTTGGGAAGTTCCCCTGGGACATGGCTGCTTGGGGTTTGCTCAATGCAAGCTGCTGCTGCTACCCACCACCCACAGCAGCACAGCCACTCCTCGGGGATGATTTGGCAGGGGGGCTCCCAGAGGAGGACACAAACAACACCGGCACTTCAGTGCTTCGGTGCCAGGCGTGTGTTCAGCTTTGCACAGGGCGAGAAGACCAGTGTTCGCATCAGACCACAGTCAGAGCTTCATGCCAGAGCTCAATGAGGGCTCACAGACTGCCCGTGCTAAATGGCTGCCAGGCTGGCCCTTTTCTGTGGCCCCAGGGAGGGCTCTCACACCTCAGAGGCGGCTATTACTCTTCATCCCTCTGCCCCGATCTCCTCCAGAAGAAGGAATCTGGTCTCCCATATCTGTGTGCAGTCCCGAGCGTCCACGCTCCAGCAGTCATCTTTCAGTTTGAGCAGGATGATCAGTGACAAAGCAGGGGAATTAAAACTTCCGTATGTTTTATTCTGGATGGCTTCACTCAGGCTTAGGTGCTGCAAAAATGGGCAGGTTGCCATTAGGTCTTCCCTCTGCTTACATAAAATTTGGAGTCATAGGCAGGATGCTTTTCTTGGCAGCAGCCAGTCTCTGATCAGAGCAGTGCCATGGACAGCAGCTTTAGTAAGCCTCCAGGAATTTTACAGCCTTTGGCCCCGCTGAGATTACAAGCAGTTGGCAAAGCGGCGTGTTAGCTATATTCCCAGGCGTCTATAGGCAAGGGACGTGCAACATTTTGGAGCGCCGAAAGGCGATGGATTCTCTATGTGATTGTAGAAAGAGAAATTGCAGTGCTGCAGCTGCGTGAACCCATCAGATTCAAGAAAATCGCATTATCATGCTCATATCATCCTTAACTTGACCTTCTTTTCCCTTGTGCAATTGGGCTTACTTACAGATAGTTGTGATCCACCAAGTTGCATACATTGTGCCATAAGCTATCATAAAAACAGCAAATGCTATTTCTGCGTGAAAGCTTGAAAGCGTCTGCAGATTCCCAGACCCCATTTATTGCTGCAGAGCATGAGACCCCACAAGGTAAGAAGGGCCAGAACAGCAGCCCCTTCCAGCGCCAGATTTAAGAAGAATGGGAAAAGTTATAAACTGAAAGAGCAGTTGCAGTTCGTGTGGCTGTGTGGCAGGGCAGGTGGGTGATTAGCTCTTTGCAGAGTTGCCAGTGTACATACAAAATGTATGTGTGATCCTAATCAAGGTCTTAAGGCATGTGTGGGATGCTATTTCAGGTTGTTTGTTTCATCTTACCTCATTAATCCCTGTAAGCCCTCACAGTGGGGACAGAGTGGGACTGAGAACAGCTGCAGAGCAAGGGATTGAAGCATACTCAGGAGGCCTGATTTCATTACTCTCTCAAAGCCTAAGCATCATCGGTGCTCTGGAGATCTTTGCATGCCTCTCATCCTTGCATGTTTCCTTTCTGTTTTTCCCCATGCCCCCAAGTATGCGCTCCCCCCCATTAAAAGCTATTTGCAGTGGCAGTTGTTCTCTGATCAAAGCTACAGCTGCCAGCTACCTGCTGCTGGCCACCTGACCACTGCAGGTCCCTCCATCCTCCAAGCTCCTCCCGGTGTTCCTGCATGCTCCTGGTCTCGTTTCTCCCCATCATTCACAGCTGGCTGTGGAAAGCCCTCTTGTCCTCTCTGCTATCCATTGTTCCTCTCTGTTTCTGTCACCCTGCTGCTCCCCAGACTGGTAATACTCCCTGCTAATGTGCTTTCCAGTCTGTCCTTCAGTGCTCAGCAATCCCACCCTGGCATTCTGCTGTCTCTCTGTCTGTGTTTCTGTATTTCCTTGCGGGTTCAGCTACTATGTCTGTGCTGGATGAATTTTTTCTGCCCATAATTTATTTCCATCCCTCCTTGTCACAAAAAAATACCCGAGTGAAAGAATTAATGTGCTTCTCTTTTGAATTATAATTTCTTTCTGACTAGAAAAGGCGCAGACATGGACAGTTTAGCCCAAGCTGTGTCTTGGAATCTAGAGACCCACCAAGACCTCACATTCAGACGACTCCAGAAAGGCTAAATCGGTTGAACGTGCAAAAATATGTAACCTTTTGCAGAAACTAAAATATCCCCCTCTAGGAAAGCTAGGAGCTACCAGAACAAAACTCTTAAACACAGCCTGCCTTCCACATCACTGCTGCAGCAGAGCTAACGCCGTGCAAAATGGAGCCCCCCCGCAAAGCAGAGCACTGCACTGGGATGCACTGAGGACTGCAGGTGTTACAGCCTTCGCTTTTGGTTTTATGCTTCTAGCAGAAACTGCAGATGCATCAGAAAATTGCCCTCGGATAGCTTCTGCTTGGAGCTGGTTGCTGTGGGTGCCGTGGGGATGCATTGCTGCTGTCCGTGGGGTGACGTTTCGGGCCCCATGCTGAGGGCTTGCCGACGAGCCCTGCTCTCCCCGCCGCAGGGGCTTGCAGCTGCAGGGGCCGTTTAAAAATGCCCGCCCTTGGCTTTGGGGCGGCCGATCCTAGCCGTGTCCCCGCTTTGCCAGCCGCCGCGGTGTGCCGGGGTGCAGCAAAGGAGCAGGGGTCGCCCGGGCGTCCTCAGGAGGGAGCAGTGGCTGGCAGTGAACAGGAAAGGAGCCATTTTTGAGGTAGTCTTGGCGTATGGTCCGTGCCCTTCAGGGCCCGAGCTCCCCTGCGCTTGCCGTGTAAAACAGCTGTCTGTAGGCTGCGTGTTGACTGTCCATCACCTTTCCTGGTGGGGAAACAGGCCTTTGGCTGAGACAGGTGGAGAGCCGGCTGCGTAACCCCGCGCGAGGCGGTGCTTGCTGTGACACTGGGAACGGAGGTGCCCTGTCCTGGGAGCGTGGCCATGGATGTCCCTCTCGGCATCGTGTTAACAGATGTCAGCTGTGGTGGCAAAGGACAGCGGCGGGACTGAACGCAAGTCCAAAATGCGCTTGGCTTGTTTAACTTGGCGGGGAGGGGATTTGGTCGCTGAGTGTCGTGCAGCAGAGAGGGAGAGCACATCTTCAGTGAGAGGGCAAAACCAGCCCCAGAGCACATGGACAGAGGCTGGCTGTGAATAAATTTAAGTCAGAAATGAAGTGAAATGGAGCAATGGCATCATGGGACGGCCATTCAGCCTGAGTGTCAGGAGCAAAGAGCAAATGACTTTTCAGATGGAATAGGACAAGGGCGTGAAAGCCTGGCGTGGCTCCTGGGAAGCAGCCGTAGCAGGGAGCAGCGTGCAGCTCCCCGGGACTTCCCCGTCCCAGCCTGCTGCGCCAACCCCTGGGGACTGGGAGAATCCAGCTCTTACGACAGGCGCTCTTACACGGCATTTGCCATATCCCCAGGTAAAGACTCTTCTGTTCCCTTATCTTTCTGACAGGGAGAGGCTGTTTACCTGGTACTCACTGATAAGATTTTAGCTGGTTTTTTCATTTATTTCCTTTTTAGGTAGTGGAGGCAGCACACTGAGAGATTTTTAATTGGCATTGACACTGTGCTGAGAAGTGTTCCCAGGGTGTTAATGATATGGAGAGTATTGTACAGTGAAATTGCAATTCAGACAAAATTAGGAATTATAATGAGCTAGAAAAGAAATTTTGATCCACAATCCAATTTAAAAGGCACACAAGTGTCCCGTATTATGAAAAATGAAGCATCAGCTTTTGCTAGGAAGCAAACAGTCCAGTGTAAAGATCAATGATGTCCTTCATTATTTTCTCAGAAACCTCAGTAACCTCAGTCTGTACCAATGTCAATGTTTCTTGTCACATTTAGCCGCAAGAAAATTCCTGTTTTCCTTATAAGAAAGCTCCTAGAAAATGTAGGAGAGAAAATTGTGAGATTGGAAGAACAAGCCCAGGTTCAAACGTATTCACCTGAACTTTCACAGCCTATTCTTCTGCAGCACGTGCCCTGCGATCCCTGGGGAGTGGTTTGCCGTTCGTGTGCTACCAGCGTTGGCAGTTCAGGGCAGCCCCAGTCACGCACTAGACCGTGTGCCTGGCTGTTGCCCGCAGGCTCTGAGAGACCCCAGACGCGGGTTGTGGTGCCCATCCTGTTCCTCCACTGCACAGGCAGCGCTGCTCCGCAGCTGCTGCAGACGTCCACACCTGCTAGAAACAGGCAGGATAGCCAGTGGTATATGAAGTGGAAGGGACAGGAAAAGCAAAGAAGAAGGGCAGAAAAGCAACTAAGAAGTAAAAACTTCTAATGACCGAAAAAGGCTGAAGAAAAGCACTGTATTGATAATGATGCCAGTGAAGTGCTGACAACTGACACCTGAATTCTCCATTTGGCCCTAGCTGTGATATTAAGACAAAGCTTTTGAAAAACAAGAATATATGCAGTCAGTGCTGGTGCTGCAGAACCTTCAACAGTCTTGAAATTTCTGTCTCTTATGGAGACAGCTATAGCAGGAGGCAGATGTCCTTTCAAGGACACTGTTTTATATCAGCCCCAGTTTATTCCTCTCCTTGCAACTGTACTTATACATTTCAGTTGTTACAATCAGAGAAGTGTCTCATCATACCGCTCATTGTCTTTCCCTCATACTT